GCTCCTTTGGATGCAGCCCAGGATACGGTTGCTTTCTGGGCTGCAAGCGCACACTGAAGCCGGCTCATGTTCATTTTCTCATCCACCAACACCCCCAAGTCCTTCTCCACAGGGCTGCTCTGAATCTCTTCTCTGCCCAACCTGTAGCTGTGCCTGGGATTGCTCCGACCCAGGTGTAGGACCTTGCACTTGGCATGGTTAAACTTCATGAGGTTGGCATCAGCCCACCTCACAAGCGTGTCGAGGTCCCTCTGGATGGCATTCCTTCCCTCCAGGGTATCAACCGAACCACACAGCTTGGTGTCATCGGCAAACTTGCTGAGGGCGCACTCAATCCCACTGTCCATGTCAGCAACAAAGATGTTGAACAAGACCGGTCCCAACACCGATCCCTGAGGGACACCACTCGTTACTGGTCTCCAGCCGGACATTGAGCCATTGACCACAACTCTTTGCATGCGGCCATCCAGCCAGTTCTTTATCCACCGAGCGGTCCATCCGTCAAATTGATGTCTCTCCAATTCAGAGACAAGGATGTCATGTGGGACAGTGTCAAACGCTTTACACGAGCCCAGGTAGATAAGAAACTCTACAAGTTATTTAAACAGCAACCATGGAAACCTTTATCAGTACCACATTCCCTACCTATAAAATTCCAAATATTTTGTCTTAAGCTTGTATGTTTGAACCGTTAGTAACATAAATAGCAGTATTTATCATATAAGCTAATAAACAGACAATGTGAACATTGGAGGACAACATAGTGATGGTAGCAAGGACCCAAACTTGCCCCTGGTTCCACAGGAGCAGCCAGGCAGCGGGGCTTCTGTGCTCACTATTTTGGGGTTTTGGTTAATTTTTTCCCCTCCAGGTTTTAAGTACTGATTTGACTGTGTGCTGTTTACACCTCTTGTTTAGTAACTACACTGGATATCAGACATTAACACCAGGTGTTCCAAAGGTCCATTCTGATGGTAAGCATGTAAATGGATAAGGCAGCAAATGAGACTGACAGAAACTGAGTTTTGGGGTATTCTTTGTGATTTAAGGAGGTCCTTGTAGGTTCCAAGTTAACAGATATTTATATTTGTAATAATAGCAACTAATGATTCAGTTCTTTCTAAAGACATTTTTTTAGCCACAGAAATGCTAGTCAGTGCTGTGATTTACTTTTAGAAATACATAATATAGGTCAAAAAGGGAGACCTCCTTTGGTGTTATTGGGAAGCTGCAGCAGAGGTGCTGGCATCTCATTAAACACTACTGTGAGGCTGAGCTTCGGTTTTGATTTATATTGACAGATGCCTTCACTTGATCCATTTCCAAGTTGGTCTGAAGTCATTTGGACTCCATAGTCAAAGGCTTCTTGAAAGTCATCCACAGAACTATATAACAAAATAGCCGGACTGCTTCAGGTAAACCTCCATCCTTGACTTCCACCATTCAGCTTTCTCTTTTAAGTGAGTTTCCTTATGAACTTAATCTACACCAAAATTAATAGAAGGCTACCAGTAGCACTCCCTTTTCCATTACATGGCCTTTGAATGACTTCTATAGGCAGTTAGCCAAGGAAGTTTACTGCTGGATTTTGTCTATTTCCTCACAAAATATGAAACACTCACACTTTTAATCATGAAGAAACTGCCCAGAAACATTATTATGAAGCACTTTAATTCCTCTATCATCCAATAGTGAATTTTTAAAAACAGAATGCATGACGCTGTGAGAGGGTGAACTGGATAAATAAGAAATCATGCATGTGGTCGTAACAGACAGGTACAAAATGGTTCAGAAACAAAACCAGAAGTTGTAGATGGATTGCTTCTTCATAATGTTAAAAAGACAACCCCATGGAATTAGAAAATGTGAGCAAAAATACCAAACAGTCGTATCAAACTGTACTTAATGTTCACCAGTACAAGACAAAGAATGTATTAAGACTAATAATATGTAGCTGGACAGATCATTCATCGCAGTATTGAATACACTTTTAATAACTTCTTAAAAGCATGCTTTGAGGCATAATGAAATTACTTTCGGGCATTATAAAGAGACTTACCTGATGTATAGATAATCAATAATTCCACATAGATACACAAAGCTACAGCTGATTTAGACTTAGGCTTCCCCCCCCCCCCCCTTATGTGTAACAAAATTTACTCTAGCTGAGTCCACTGAAGAAAAAAAATGTAACAGATTAATCAAACATAAGAGTAGTATATTTCTGAGTAACTGCATGAATGAAAGCTGTAGCCTAGACAGCAAATGCCTGGCTAAGCCTTTTCCATCTCTGTGTCCCAGGTCTTTTTGAAATGGCACTTGTTCGTGCTGTATTCTAGGGAATATCAGTACTAGTCCTCATGAAATCCAGAAACTAAAATTAACAAAATAGCACTTTTGACATAAGGAACTTGTACAACTTTCAAGAACTTCCCCCTTCTATCATCTTTATTACCACCGAAGGATTGACTGAACTGAAAATGCAGTTCTGCATTTGAGAGCAAATTGTCAGTGATGGCACAAAGAGCAAAGGCCAAAACTAATATAAACAGGTCAAAAAAAAAAAAAAACAGCAAAAAGTCTTTTTCTTTCTTTTGCCTAATAGGCAGCATTACACAGCAATGTAATAGAAATCAATTCTTCAGAAGATTGCTCTGAAAATGTGACAATTAGCAAAAGAAAAACTCCCTGACCTCCTACCTGTTAAGGTAGCAAATGTGTTTCCAAAAATACTGAGAAGAGACACCTCAAGGACTGAACAATTGAACAGCGGGAGGTAGCTCCAACCAGTAACTATGATGAAGTTCCCCATTTTGTAATCGGTACCCAACACACAGGGACTAGGCTCTGCTTCTAATCTCCTTTGTCTGATAGAGCTATGAAAATGTATCAAGCATTCTCATGATAGCTCAGCTACTCTATTTGATGTGTCAGGGTGTCTGCATCAGTAGCAGGAGTTCAAATAACTGTCCACCAATATTAGAAAGGAACTTCCCACTCCTTCCTGCTATGCAATTCCAACAACATACCTTGCTCCAGGCCCTTTGTGGGCAATTTGACTCTCTAAAATGGCAGCAAACAAACCCAGCAAAGAATTGCAAGGGTTTACACTACTTGAACAAGTTAAGTCACCCCACAGGGTAGCCTAGCAAGCACCAGGGGTGAGAATATGGGAAGGATGGAACTGCCCACCAGTTTCTGTTTTATGTTCTTACGTATACACATTGGGAAAATAAATGAGAATAAGAGACTAATCTATTCTCTAATTATTTCTTGTATTAATGGCTACTCTTAAAGGAAGTGACAGGTAAATGTCTTAATGTGCAACTACATCAAAAGTAACAAGAACTGGAACAACATTTCCCACATATTAATCTATTCCTGGAATTCCAGAGGAATTCAGATGGCTTTAAATTATTTTTTCTCCAGAGTGAAAAATAAGAAAGTTTACTTCTTGAAAGCATAACAATATGATACACAAAGTTATTTCTCTGAAGGCTCTCAAATATTCTTTGGGAATCTGTATGAGAATTGCTAATCTCAGCAAGGCCAAAGATATCGTCTACTATGACCTCTAGCAACAGAAAAGCCTCCTGAAACTTTTTGAAGGCTAAATATTCAATTTAAAATAAAAAGCAATACAAAGTGTCTCTTACAAGGCGCTTTAAGCGCCATGAACATAAACCATAATTTTTCTGAAAATGGTTAAAGTCTGTGATTACGTTGGTATAAATTACCATACACTATCCTGGAAATAAACATTTTAATATCAGTGTTTAATTTCACTTATTATTATTGCTGTCTACTAATATCTTTAGGCAGTACCAGCAATACAACAACTGCATTCTTAAGATTTCTGTTACCAGAAAACCAATGAGCTTATGACCATTCCATCTCACCATTTAAAATTATTCATACAGTAAAAACTTCTGAGAGAATTGTACATTTCTTTATAAGGATTATGATTAAGGATGATTTTGAGACAAATCTCTCAAATCAAGGTGTTCCACTTCCTCAAATTCATTTCCTGGTTGTTTGTGTACCCAGTATGTTTCAGTAACTACTGAGAGATGTATCTGTAATGAACTGAACATGTGGCCTTGTGAACTAGTACAAAGAGGCCTATATGTGATACAGTTCCTTAAGAATATCTAATGTTTACCAGAAAGCTGTTTGGCACGCTTCAGACTAACCTAGACCACATCTAACCCCCAACACATTGCAGTGCCACCTAACAAGCTGACTTCTAATATATTTTGAGGAGATGCAGGTGAAGCCCTCATTCTCACGGCACCTGAAACCTGTAAATGAATCCAAAACATAATACGGGCTCCTACTAACTCAAGGGGCAGACAAAAGTACTATTTTACTTCATCAAATAGTACAACTAATTGATGTCTGCCATCCTAATACTGCCAAGTTGAAAATCTAAGCAAAGTTCTCCATTAATACCCCAAACAAATCTGCATGACATTTGCAACTACACGAGGAATACTGTTTTTCAGGGAAGCTTTTTAATGACAGTAATAAGGGGGAAAAAAGGTCATTTTTACAAGTGACACACTTAATAAAAGCATCATTTTATATGCCTCAAGGACACCATCCTACAAAACTTTGTAGTACATAGGTGCTGTTAAAAATTAAAGACAGCAAATATACACACATCCTTTGATTATGCTATTTGTAGCCCTAGCATAGCTAACACTACAAAGCTTCTCCCTTCAGTATTTATCAGAATATAGAACATTTTATACCGGACTAAGCAGCTGTAACAGGAGTCTCACTGTCAAGTTTCACGAAGGGAAATGAGTGACAATGTAATTTGCTATTAAGATTGTGATTACAGAACCATTTATTTCTTATTTTTAGCTTCATTTTTTACTAACCTCTTTCAAATACTCTAGTATTAGTGGTTTTTTCTACATAACTAGACAAGTAAATGAAAAACCCCTTCAAAGTCTTTATTGATGCATCATTTTCATTAATTCCTGAACACTTACCTTCCCAAGAAGTGTCTCAGAGGAAGGCTTATGTAACTTTTCAAGGGAAGCTGTTATTTTACAACATTGTCTGAAAGCATGGAATATGCAGTTTTCATCCGGCCATCCTCTTAACTAAGATCATTAGCACTGGGGGGGGGGGGGGGGGGATCAAATAGATTACAATGTAATTCCAAGAAATGTTATTTTGTGTAACTTGAAGATGAGATTTTTTAAACAATATCATCCAGCTAGCCTATTTCCCTTCCTCTGTGCTAATCGTGGTGGTATTTCTGCAAGGGAAATTTAAAAGCTAAGTGTTCCAACTAATTAATAGAACAAACCCACTACTTAAAATACAAAACAAAACCAAAACACTCCTACAGTGATTGCTTCACCATTTTCTTGCCCCAGGGTATAATCTTTTCCTTAATGTGCAATGTCTTCATTACATTCTGCAGTGGTGCTGCAGGTGGAGATGGTGCTTGCAGGGTCTGTAGGCTGGCGCAATGGATCCCCTGCAGTGCACAAGAATGTGCGCCAGCTGTAGGTCAGATAAATAGTTTATAAAGTGTGGGTAAAGTGTTCACAGCTGAGTTTCTTTTACTGCCACTTCATAGTCTCGCTAGTACTGAGGACTGTGTAGGGCTTTTACCATCCTCAGTCGTAAGAGAGTACTTTCAGAGAAGAAACTCACAGGAGAAATATCCCTTAAGCACTCACACATCCCTACCAAGCTTAATGTTAAAGCTGCTGTTTAAAGTCAGACAAATAAATGTACATACACATGGGAATTACACCTTCTCTGCTTAGGAAGTCTGTAGAGAACAACAAAGAAAGCCTCAAATACCCTATACATCTCCTGGGCATACATAAAAATACTCTTATCAAGTGGTTCAAACCTAATCACAAGACTTAGCATAAGAGTGATTTTCAGTGACTGTGCACCTTCCCATACAGAATCATGACCCTAGGTATGTAAGGAATGAATAAAAATATTAAGCAAAAACCAAAAAGAATTCATGGGGCTCTTTAGAAGAACACTTGGTAACATACTAAGTTGCCTATATTAAATTAGCTACAGTAGTGTAATAATGAATAATAGAAATTATAGTAATGGTATGGTAAAGCAGAACCTAGGTAGTTTGTTTTTCTGTCTTGCAGATACCACAAACATCGACCCAACATAGTCATTCTGAAGTAAATCCATTATGAATAGGGACAGAGCATTCATGTATCTCCTTTAAAGTAAACCATTCCTACTTCAATCAACCATACTTTTTTAAACATGGCAGTCCATAAGGAAATGAAGTGTAGCGTTTGCATTTGAAAGCCTACAATTAAAAACAACCTTTTAAAACTGCAAGAAATTTTAAGACTTCAAATCAGATTTTGGGGTGGGTTTTTTACCTTAAGTCAGTTTTGAGAAAGTTCCTTTAGGTCCCATGAACTTGAGAATCATTTATGCTTTTCAATATTTTAACTCAAACCTTAAATAAGCTAAATTAGTTCTATTTCTGTCCACAAGAGATGAACTGACTGACTGCCTTTGAGCAGCCAGAAGCAAAAGGGATTAGAAAGATGTGTTATGGTCCACCCAAGTTACAATACAAAGCCAAGAAAATTTGATAAAGCAAGTCACAAAGCTATGATTATTAGCATTTAAGATTTAGACAATACTTGCAGGTTAAATTCATATAACTTTAGAATCTAAGATTTGCTACATTCTATTACAAAACAGTTTAGAAGAACTGTTATCTAGAAGAAAATTATCTTTTTAATTCTTTTCTAACACCTGGCCATATTTAAGAATAGTTTCTAATAACTGGCAAGACCAATCATCATTTATGTAGAAAAAGATCTATGATTAGAACTTTAGGCCATTTTTAAGAACCATATTCTATAAAAATCTTAGCTTTCACCATACCAGCTTCATAACATGCAATAGGTGATTGTCATATTATGAAACAGTGGCTACACATGGGGTAATGGCTGCTTAACTGACAAAACCACTTAAGAAACAGACAGAAGTTACAAGAGAGGGTTCACGACGCAGCAACTTACATTTGCTAAACCCCAAGTTTCAGATGCGCAAGACCTCCTCAAATTGCAGTGCCTACATTTTTCCTAAGAAGTCAAGCTTTTCTCAAACAAATTTTAAATTCCAGCCTATATTAGCAGTTCATGGTGTTCTAGTCCTTGACTCTGCATGGATTTTCAAATTAGATACCTGCATCACTTAGCACCAAGCCTCTCCCCACAAGGTATTTCTAATAGCTCTATTTGACAGCTCTCTGAATAAGAGTGTGCTTGAATTTCTCCTTATTCTGAAGAAAGGATGAACTCCTGCTCTTCATGGGCCTACAGATATTCTGCCCTTCTGGTTAAAACAGGTCCATTTTGTTATCCTCATTATACAGCAACTGTTTCATTTTCTTTCCTCACTGTAAACAAACATTCACATGGGGTTTTTTCCTCCTAATTTTAATGAACGTAGAAAGAGCCATGTCATGGAAACACAGAGGCTTCAGCTGAGGTTGAAATTCCCTAGACTAAGCGCTGAATAAACATACCATACACTAGTTTGGTGTTTGAGCAAAGACTTCCCTCTTTCCTGACCCCATCCGAACATACTTAGCAGAGGTTAAACGAAGAAATTGAAAACTGGAGTTGAACTCACTTTATCAGAAATAACGTACAGATTTAACAGGCCACAATACCTCTCAAACTGATGTTAAAATGTCAGATGATACAAGTAGCCCGCACTCTAAATGTATCAGTGGTTTGATAACAAGAAAATTGTCTTCACTGTAGATCCAGAGTCGTAAGAGCCTTCAGTCTCATAACAGATGTTTGGCAAACCGCTTTTTGCTTTTTAAAGGTCATCTGTCTCATCCTTCCAGGTTCTGAAAGCAGAAGGTTAGAAGCTGTATAAAGAAAACAGTGCAGCCTGTTCTGAGATTAAGGAAGCAATATTCAGTGATAAAAACCAAGCCAGCTCCGAGTCTCATTTCTTACTATAACCTGTTAGATACTGTTATTCACTTCCAGTTTGCGTAACAGTACTCCCATTAGCTGCAGAGAAACGTACATGGCAATACTTATTTCACAGAGCTGGTAACATTAATTTCTCTACAGAGGTAACTCCTCTTATTTTGTCATATCCAGAACACAACCTTTTAAAAGCAGAAGTTGTTACTGAAGAGAGAATCAAGCTTATTCTGTATGGATTAGAAAAATAAACCAAGGCAGGCCTGACATTACAACAGTATTGGAGAGTAATTGGAGAGAATTGCAAAAGTAATATATAATAGATGATACTTAATCTGATTTACCACTTTTAGATAAGAACCATTTTAATTGACACTTTTGAATGTTGGGGGAGGGTTTTTATTAATTTGGTGACTTTAGACAGTTTTCTGTGCATTGGGAATCAATCAGTTTTTCTTCAGCTTCTAAAGAAAAATTACTGCTTTGGCCTCCATTGTTACCTTGTTGGAATTATTACTACCGTCTGGCAAGCACCAAACCACAACTCTCCAATTCAGAGAGAGGAAAAATGAGGATTGTGCCATGGGAAAGAAAGCAAGGTCACACTGATTAAAAAACGAGAGTTTGAGAAACACTTCATGGCTGTTGCCTTCAATCTTTAAATCCTGACTGTATAGCTAACCACTGGTTTGTTGCTTCCCATTAAAATCAGAAGTGAAATCCTCTTTCACTTCTTCCTTTCAGAAGTAACATACCACTCATGCAGTGGTAGGGGTATTGAAGAACAAAGCTTCCCTTGCCACCACTAGTGCTGCATGCTAGTATAAATCCTTTTAAATGCTTATCAAACAGAAAACAAAGACTGAAGTTGAGTTTTAGTTCAATGAACATTTTCCATGATTTGTTCAGCTTCCCTTGCACTGAGTAACACAATTGGTACTATGCACACTGTACACCTGTACTGAACCTATATAGGTCAATACTGTACAGGTTCAGTACAGCTGCACCACAAAATTCAGAGCTTTCAGGGTAAGATGGTGATGTTATAGATACAAAGCTTATAGTGTCATCTCCTGGCACCGAGCATAGTCAAAGTGGTAGATGTTAACAGCAAAACGCGAGGTTATATCCCGATTATTTTTAACTTCAGCACCACTTTCTGAAAACGGAAGCCATTATTTCTCTATAGATGCTTAGCATTTGTCAGCAGAAATTGAGTATCCACTGCACCAACTGTGTGGGAAAGGAAAGCAGATCTTAGAATCATAGAATAGTTAGGGTTGGAAAGGACCTTAAGATCAAGTTCCAACCCTCCTGCCATGGGCAGGGACACCTCACACTAAACCATATCAGCCAAGGCTCTGTCCAATTCGGCCTTGAACATCTTACACTAGCGTGCTTCCTGTATTTCTGCGCATCCCTGCCATATTGCTATTCTGGGATAGTTGCCTGCCTTGAATTCCCTTACTGAATTTCTAATTCTTGACTGCCTGTGAAGGAAGCTTGACATGTCTTTAAGTTAATTCTTTAAAACATTAATTTTCTTTTCATACATGAAGTTCAGGCTTCGCTATTTATGGAGTAAGTTCCTCCTCAATCACCTTTCAAAAACAAGAAAAAAGTATTCCACCATTGCTACTTTCTAGCAAATGAAACAGATTTTATTCCATTTTTATCTGGAACCTTTCTTCTGTGAATTACCCAAGTTTGTACCAGCTGTTCTGTTAAGGTCCTGCATAAGAAAAAATGAAAACCCTGAATAACCTACCAAATGGTAACTGCTGACATTTTGTATTAAGCAAATTAGAAACAGACCTCAACACCATGTAGCATCATCAAGGCTGTATGAAAATCAGTTTCTCCTGACCAAAGAAAAAGAAGAAACATTTATGCCTTTCAAAAAATCTTATGCTTTTGAAGAGGTCAGAATCCTAAGTAAAATATAACATGCATTAGTTGGCAAACCTGTGATATTACAATTACCTAGTTTCATATAAAACGTGCTGTTATGATAACCACATTGGCCATCTCATGTGCTCATCAGACCAATGTGTTTTGTGCTTTACATTAAACAAAAGATGAGAGACAGAATATATTTAGGCATTCTAAATGTCACTTCTATAATGTCCTCTCAATCTAAAGTTTGCATACTGTAGCAATCAACTTCCTCTGGTATACTTTATTAAATAGTGCCATCCAGTGGTGACTCCGATCACAATGCTCTACAAAACCCACCTTAACGTTAAATTCTTACCAGCCATGCAACTGCAGAGAACAAATAAGGTTTACATGAATGTTTAGCTTATGTTTAAGTTCCTAACAATGCTAAATTCTTGATGATATTTGGTCACAGTTTATGTTAGTTTCTGAGGCAACAGTAAGCATTAATTCTCTGCTATGTGATAGGACACATTTAACAGGCATGGTAAAGTAGCAGTACCAGCCCTAAATCGTTGGAAATCCTTGATAGCATTTGATAAAAGGAAAAGGATGGTAAGTTTTACTGTCAGAGGCTTTGGGTGTGCAAAAGGGTATGCAAGACAGTGAACAGGAGTGGCCTGACTATCAATTTTAATTCTGCCAATACACACATTACTGACTCCCCGACATAAGGTGAATCATGATACCATTTTATTTCGCTTCCAAAGCGCCTTTGTACTGTTTGCTACAGGCTGAATTAAAATGTTGAATGTGTAACATGTTAAACAAGAAAGCATTTAGAGATACCCAAATCTGCTTTCCAGATACACCTGTTGTTATTGACTGTTTGCAGACAAGCAGCATTTGATGCCAAATGTACAGAAGTATGTTTATATGTAATAAGTAGAGTGCTGAAGAGCCATCAGCAACCTCTCAGCTGCTTTGTAATTCTCCATGAATTGCCAGCATGAATCACAGTCCTCTTCAGGCAATGAAGACTTAGAAACTTCATTATATAGTGCAGCAATATAAATCTGCACAGCCACCCCATTAGCCTATCAAGAGAAAAGGGTACTTCCTGGAAGCAGTTCCAAGCAAGTACCTCTCTCTTTTCTTGATGTTTCAGTAAAGAAACTACAAGACGATACATGTCATATTTAACAACCAAAACATACAGCCGTGCATAATTCTGCATGTAAAGCATTGCGAACAGCAATATACTGCATGTTTAGAAATGGGCTTTTATTTCTGTATGTAGACAGTCTGCATCAATAGAAGGAAAAGAATTTACAAACAGGTACATACTCTAGTACTCAGATATCTTTAGGATTATGCCAGAAAAGGTGAAATTAATATATTTACTATAAACAATTAAAGTCAAAAGGAAAGGTACCAAAGTACAGTACCAAAATATTTTCAAATGGTAACACTACATGGTATTTTTTCACTTATAATCAAAAAAATCAAGTGATGAACAGCAGCTGGATATGAAAGTTGTTCAAGGCAAGGAGAAAATATAATATTCGTCTAAGAACAGCAAACTGTTTCATCACCTTTCCTGTTGCCTTATTTTTTACTTCTGTATAACAGAGATGATTGTGGAATTCAGTTCAAAGCTAGTTCTTCCCAGAGGCTTTGAGTACAGTGAAGAATTTAATTATACAATAATATATTTACAAAATTTACAGATACTCGGAAATACATGGAAATAATAATAATAATGGGGTATATTTGTACATATACCAAGAATATGAGTAAATTAAAAAAGAGCTTTCCCATCACTAACAGCTAAATATGAATTACGACAGAAAAACTCTTAACGTGTAAGGATTTTGTTCAAGTCCATTCACGGCTGTTTAGTGAAGACTAGAGCAAGTAACAAAAAACAGAACAAATAGACCTCCCAAGGCACCAACAACCAAGAAGCCTCTGAAAACAGCCCTCCTGGCAGGATTTATGCAGAAATAAACTTGAGTAATTTAGCAAAAGGTTACTCATTAGCCTTTGTCAAACCGTTCACAGTAATGGTGTCTTCCAGTCACATAACCCATCTCTTTGCTCTAAAAGGTAACAAACTCATTAGGTATTTCTACTGGCTCAGTTAGTAAAGCTCTTTAATCCCTATGTCAACAAGAAAAGTCTTGGGAATGTTTTATTGATTAGCAGTTCTAACACAGATTGACACATTTCTACCCTAACGTCTATGTTACAAGCCTGTTAAAATAAAAGCAGGATAAGATCCCACCCATCACACATGCCATAAGCTCTGGAGACCCAGACAAGAAGTGTTAAAAATGCAGAGAGCACTGCTATTAATGTATAAATATCTATGGCACACCTCCTGTCCTTACTGACCAAGACAACTTGAATCCTGCATCAGACTCACGGTAATCTAATGACACCATGCCAGAGCCTGTATCAGTTGCCTGATGTTTCCAAAGGCCTGGCAGCACCTACAGAACTGAATAGCCTGCAAAGTGAAATTCAGTTTCCTAAGTTTTCTATTTCATAATTCAGTTTAAGTTCAAATTGTGATAACATTGCAGTTCTGGATGAGAATTCAGTGGCACTCAAAGAAAACCCTTTTTAAGTGTTGAAATAAACATCAGTAATGTGTTACACTGAGGGCTTCTAACACTGAGCACATCCAGCCAGCCTATGGCACCTCAAGACTGTCATACATACCAAAAGCAGGAATCTCCTCAAGTATATATTCCAGCATCCCTGTGATAAAAAGTAGCAAGTGAAAGAGCAGCTGGCTTTGGGGTGTCTAAGAGAAAGACCTCTCACCTACCTTATCTCCATACCACGATTTGAAGTATTTAAGCACTTAAAACTGCTTTAATAACTGGAGTATTCTGATAACTTCCTGAACTTTCTTCAATTGGTATCTCAAAGAAGTTTTGCTTGAAGACATCAAACCCAGAATACTAAAAAGATCTGTGCTACCAGAACCTTTCCTCTAGAGTTTCACACATAGTGGGAGCAGTA